TGGACAAATAAGTTTGTGCGAGTAACCTCAGTTGTGGAAATGATGCTTGAAATCAATGTCGGGAAAGTTAACCCAAAATGTTGTGTGTGGGTTTTAGGAATAATAAATGATTTGTAATACATTCATAAGAGTGTCGGTGGCTCAGGGGTCAAGCACTTGACTTGCAATCTGCAGGTCCTGGGTTCGAATCCCGCCATGTACCAATGTGTTTTTCGATTTCCGATTTACATATGTACATTTATCCGACGTTCTTACGGTGAAGGAAAACATCGTGATGCAACCTGCACATATCTGAGAAGAAATTCAAAGATATGTTTGAAGTAAACCAACCTGCACTTGGCCAGCGTGGTTGACTATGGCCTAATCACCCTTAACTTAGGTTAGGCTCCGAGCCTATTGGTGGGGACGTATAGAGTAAGCTGATGATGATGAAAGAAGAATTAGATGTGTAGGGAAATAATGTCCTATTATTATTATTAAAGATAGTCGTTAAAAACTTCTTTCCATCTAATCCATCAAATTAAGTATTATATTGTAAAGTTAAGAAATAATAAAGGTTAAAATAAACAGACATGCAAGCTTGTTTCAAAATAATTCAGAATTAATGACACATCTTGGTCGATCCTTCATTTTTATTGGCAGATGACACGTGAAGGTATTAAAAATGAAATAATATTATTCAGACATGACTTTGGTATTTATTAATTGTGTAAACATGGTACCATGTTGACATGTAATCGATTAAATGGTTCACAATAAGGAAGAGATGTGGTTGATAAAATAATTTTCATTATAGTTGTTATATAGGGTGATCGATAATTCCTTTTAACTTTTAACCATATTTTCTGAGACCAAAAACCCCGTTTAAACCCTCTCTGTTTTTGCAAAGATGATAAGGCTATGTTTTTAGGATAGATTTGAGTGTCAGAAACCTACGATTAGTAAACTATGTAGCGATACTTCTCATATTTCTATCCATATAATGGAATCTGTCTTTTTAATTTCTTAACATTTTTTAAAATTAATTTGTTCGCTTGCGAAGAGAAGTTATTTTTGTTGTCAATCACCAATTCATAATTAAAATTTCTTGATCAACAAAAGATATTCCATTTGATATTTTACTAGTGTCGTAAGATTGCGAATATAATAGCCTTGAGGATTTTGACCCTATCCTTGTCAAGAATTTGACGCACATGAGTCATACGCTTAGCTCGATGACATTCGAATTTCCAGCGACGCGACTTGAGTCACGTTCCAAATGTCAAGATATCACTGCCTGAACATCTACTGTGCATAGAAAAAAATATGTAGATTCGGAGACAAACTTACACGTCCAAATTCTGAAACAGTAGAACTAACATTGACGTCGTGGAGAAGATTTTATTCGCTGTATTGAAAATGGGATTGATGGTTGATAAATTTGCCTTCATATGGGATGTCTATCGACGCTGCGAAGATTAGTAAGTGATATTTCTTAGACCCATTATCTCTATTTATCGTCTTTTGTTGTGAGGTATTCTGAACTCACTACATTTCTGTTGTTGCAAGTCTTGCGGGACTAAATATTGGTCAGGATTTCTTATATGCCAATGGCACAATACTTTCGATTTTAATAATAAGTAAAACCAAAAATTTAAGTCTTTCCAATCCACGATATTATGACGTGAATGTAAAGAAAATTATTGTTATCTTTCAAGCTTATAGGTATTCGAAATCGAATTGGTGTCACGAACTGTGAGTAAAGCAAATATTTGCGTTTCTGTTGAGCCGTATGTTCCCTACGTATTGGGGAAATCTCTTGTTATTACATGACTCAAAGGAGAAATTCGTGAATTCTTGATTGGTGATTAAACATGATGTGTTATCCATGAACCCCTCTTTACGAAGAATAATGTACAAATAATTATTTGGCGGAAAACCACGTATAAAGTTCTTGTGATCCCAGAGTTGAATATGGTAACAGAAATATGTACAAAGTAATTCACTACTAAGCATTTGCTTCTTATATAAATCCTCATAATTTATGTTAAGTTATCATTTAGTAAATTTATGTGACCTTGAACCTCTTCTTTGTATTCACTTGAAGTCAATTGACCATGCAAAGATGTGATGAGGAAGGTATGTGGATCGAAACATATGCTGTCATTTTCAACTACCAATTGAGTCGTATAGAAATCAGTGATGAGAAACACACACAGAAAGGTTGTCTGCGCTTCACTTGAAGCTTACATTTTTTTCTTTATATCTGAAATATACATACATAAAAATGTGTGCTCCAATGACATTGTTTGTATGTATGTTGTATGAATTTACAAGTTACGCAAGTTAGTACAGTGGGTGTTATTTGTTAGCATGTTTAAGCGTTACCAGTCAAACTGTCTTTACACCATGACCCTAAATGATTCATACAAGTTACCTGATTTCGAAATACTGTTGAGTGATGTAGGGAAATTGACTGCCTTCGTGTCTGCTATCCAACTCATCACGATTAGAAGCACGCACATTCGTTTGTACATTTTGTATTGTTTTTATTACACTTTTATTGCAGAATTTTTAGTATTACTATTTAAGTTTTGAGGTTAGAAGTTTATACGGTTATCTGTTAATAGTGTTTTACTAATATGGTTAACTTAACTTATAACATGTCTGAGTTAAATCAAATATGTCTTATATTGTTTTGTTTTTGAAAATGACTATATAATCCGTTCATCGTTTGTCACGTTGTAATTATTTATCTACGCCATCTTTTATCTTATTATCTTACTACTATTATAAATGCGGAAGTTTAAATGGTAGGATGTTTATTTAAAGGTATCTCCAAAACGTATGTACGGATCTCGCTGAAATTTGGCATTAATATAGAACATGGTCTGGACGAGCACATAGCCTACCTATTAAGTTTTTTATAATTCCACGGGGAGCCGCGGGCCACAGTTAGTAGATTATATCGAAAAGCCTATGTTTTCATTTAGAAAGTTCTTGTTTTTGTTTGTATACGAATGTTTTGTTAGGATATGTTTATATATTTGAATTATCAAGGATATGTAAGTAATACATAATGTTAAAATACATAATAAAGGTACGGCCAACATATATTAGACATATATACATAAAAACAATTAAAATGTATACTGTATTATCATTGATCAATGAAATGTAATTATTATTGTTGTAGAAATTATTGAACTAGGTCGTTCGCGTATTATATTAAGAACAATATACAAATATTATCTTACTTTAGATCATGAATGCGAATAAATACAAGAATAATCATTTAAAATTGAAGGTTTTATTTTACAATGAAAACATTTTTATTTTTGTTTTATTTCCTGTCTTAAAGGTCTTTGCGTATTTGTGAGTTAATTAAAATATTTTCATATTTTAATATTAAATCATTACTTCCGAATAAAACTGATATCTTCAAATTAATCGTAAACAATCTTTATATACAAAAGTGTATTCAAATCGTGTTTATTTATAACTCAAGAACGGCTGAACCGATTTTTCTGAAAATTAGGAGATTGACTTAACTTGGCCGGCATTTTTTTTAATTACTTAAAAAATAACTTAGATTTAAGTTATCATATTCTCTTTTTAAAATTAA